ATGAAAGGAAAGAGGAAAGCACGGGACGGTCCTTGAGGGGGAAACCCATAAAAATGCAGTGGGAAGAGCACATGGGAGGACGGGCATTCCCTGAACTCCCATGTTTCCTCCTAAGTATCAGCCAGCTGTGGGGAAACAAGAGGTGGGAGGGCCCTGGGCGCCCTCGTGCCCGACTGTCACTACTGCTGGCTCCTTGGTGATGCCCATTCATAGCCAGTCCTGTGGGGAGGACCCTGGACAGCAGCTGAGAGCTGTGTGGAGGATGACTGGGCCTAAGCTTAGTGGAGCACCCCCTACACACCCCCAAAGCCAGGGTCCAGTGCCTGGATCCTCAGATGTGACCTGGGGCCCAACAGCACGGGTCTCTCCTGGGAACCTGTTAGAAATTCGGACTCTCAGGCCCCACCCCAGACCTGCTAAATCAGAATTTGCATTTTTTTTTAAAGATTTTTATTGGGGAATTGGGGGATGGGAACAGTGCTGGGGAATTGCGGGAAGGGGAATAGACAAGTTGCTGTCCTTTTGTTCCTCAGTCTAGCTGTGGAGGACGTTGCTTCACTGGCCCAAGTTGGCACCATCATTGCGCTCTTCCCGGGCAAGGCAGATCAGTCACCAGCTTCTGGACGGCCACTCACCGTGGCTGCTGGCCGCTCACGCTGGCTGCTGGCTACACACGGTAGCCCATGGCAACCCACTGCAGCAGGGGCTGCAGCCTACGCCCTCACCGGCGACTCATGGCAGCCCAGCTCCAGGTTGAGCTGTTGTTCAGCATCTTAGCTGTGGAGGGCAGTGTCACTGGCCCTCATATGTGGGATCCGAACCGGGGCCCTCTGGCGTCCCAAGCCAGTTCTTAGCCATCGTGCCACTCGGCCGGCCCCAGAATTTGCATTTTAACAAGCTCCTCCAGTGATCTGTGGGCACCGTCAGTTTTGCAAAACCCGAAACCTAACCCGTTGCCCCGACACGAGTGGTTCTCAGCTCTGGCAGCACGTTGCAGTCACGGGTCCTTTTAAAGACTTCAGTGCATCTCCGAGTTGAGAAGCATTGGCTGGACCAGAGGTTAACACACTATATTTCCCGAAAGCCAAACCTGGGCCACCACCTGCTGGAGACAAATGTTTACTAAACAACATACCCATTTTGTTTGCATATTGTGTGCCGCTGTGAGAACTACAAGGGCAGTGAGTAGCCATGACAGTGACCATAGGGCCCCCAAAGCCTCACCTACTTACCATATAGACCAGGGGTTGGCAAACTGTGGCTCACGAGCCACATGCGGCTCTTTGGGGTACGTTCCATCTCAAAAGTTTGCTGACCCCGGGAAGACCCACTCTTGTCCCTCACAACAATTTAAAAATTGTTCGAGAGCCATAAATATATTTTTACATAATCACCATTATGTGAATAATATCCTTTAAAAATATCATAAATGAAACTATGATAGTTTTATTTTCATTTTCAGTTTTACTTCAGAGCCTGCGGCCCGCGAGCCACAGTTTGCTGACCCCTGGCGGCTCTTCCGTCTCAAAAGTTTGCCGACCCCTGATCTAGACCTTTCCAGAAAAAGTTCGCCAACCCCTGGATTAGTCTCTCCATTCCACTGTCTTAACATCCTCTAGCTTAAACTCCAGCACAGTCAGTGGTGACTACTTGTTTACGTACTACAGGCACAGCTCTCAAGGGCAGAGACCTGGCTGAGTCATCCCCATGGAGCCCTCCAGGGCCACCCAGGGCCTGGCCCTCAGCAGATGCTCACCTATCGGCACGCATGCGTGGATATGTTCATTTAACTACTGACCTTTGGGTGTCTTTTTTTTCTTTCTTTTAAAGATTTTTATTGGGGAATTGGGGAATGGGAACAGTGCTGGGGAATTGGGGGAAGGGGAACAGAGAAGTTGCTGTCATTTTGTTCTTCAATCTAGTTGTGGAGGACGTTGCTTCACTGGCCCAAGTTGGCACCATCATTGCGCTCTTCCCTGGCGAGGCAG